CTTTCCATATAGATGATATCACAACCCTCCTAATAATTAAAAATAATCTTACTAAAAAATGTTTCATGTGTAAAATAATAGTATATAGGTATTCAAAATTTGTTGAGTACAATTATAAAATGTTTTATATAGATAACACACACACAAATACACATTAGATCTTATAAAATGTTATATGCATAGTGTGATATTGATATAAATATTATGAAAAATAATACATGAATGAGAAAATATGAATGTCTCTTCATTTATGTTATAGAATTGAATATTAGAAATTTATCTAGAAAAATGTGTAAATTATATTTGTGACATTTGAAATAATCTATAGAAATTTGATGTATATAAAGAGATAAATATCAAAGGTGTATGCATACAAGGTGGAATTGTATAGGGCCTAGGCTCTACACAATCAAATTAGAGCCTACTTTCAAATAGTATCAAGAAATGTGGTTTTACTGCTAGAAATCTTTGTGATAGCCTTAAAATATATTTTTATATTTATTTATGAAGTTCAAAGCTTCAAAAATAGGGTCGATCAACATATATATGAAAACTTGAAAATTGACGTTCTAAAAATGCATTACAAAATACACTATTTCCAAAACTTGAAATCCATTTTTTTTTCTCATGTCCATACATCTTGATGTCGAGATGATCAATTTGAAGATATTTGGGCATTAAAACAACCTCTTCTAGTAAACTTTTTGTGGTAGGCACAAATTTGATTGTTTAGAGCCTCGACTCTATATAAACTTTTCCCATACATATATAGTTTATTTCAAATCTCAAGGACAAGCTTTCTCCAACTAGGGGAGAATGATGCAAGACAATATACCCCTTAAGTTTGTATTTTCTTATTTAATTTAAAGATTTATTTTAGATATTTTCAGAGTTATTTTTTAGGGTTCTTAAGGGTTTTTAGGGATTCTAGGATTTTATATTTTTTAGAATTTCAGGATATATTTAGAAAATAGTTAGTTTTGGTTTTTATTATTTATTTATTACAATGTAATAAAAGGGCCACCGGTATTAGGGTTTCTAACACTTTTGAGGCATGAACAATAAAAACAGAATGTGAACAATACCAACAAGCCCTATCTAGGGTTTTGGGGTCCGTTTTTTTTTTATGCAAAAAAAACTAGATCCACTCAAATCTAACTTGTTTTGATAGTTTATCGAACTATTTTACCTCTTTTCACTAATTTTCTTACATCACCATCACTGCATTATTTCATGAGAGAGAGAGAGAGAGAGAGAGAGAGAGGAGGCTCATACGTAGTAACTTACGACGGAGGGGTCGGACGTAGTCGGTCGGTGGGTCGGCCGTACGTACGAAGAACTTAATTTAAAAGTTTAAAAAGGTTACGGGACTAGGCCGGG